TGCAGTATTTGTTTATAGTATTCTGTAAATATCAATTATGTCGGGTTGGTAGTATTTTTGAGAACTGTATCCTCATTGACTCTTTTGTCTAGTTGGTATATTAATTAATGACAAAGATGTTAAAAATCTCTGGCTATGCTTGTGGGTTTGTCTGCTTCTCCTTTTAGTTTTGTCAGTTTTTGTTTCATGAGTTTGGTGTCCTAATATTAGATACATACATTGTTATGCATTTCTGATGAATTAGCTCTTTGTCTTCAGGCTTGCTTTGGTATTAAATAAAGCCATTCAGTTTTCTTATGCTCATTCTGCCTGGTCTGTCATTTTCTATCCTTTTACTGTTTGTATTTTTATATTTAAATTGTACCTTAAGTTTTGTATTTAAATCATGTCATATATTTATATATAAGATGATATCTTATAGTCGGGTTCTTGCTTTTTCTTTCACTCAGCTTGACAGTTTCTGCCTTTCAGTTGGGATGTTTATTTCCTTTACATGTAATGCAGTTATTAATAGGATTGGTTTTCCACTTGTTCTTCTGAGGTTGTTTTTAAGTGTACAATCCATTGTTTTTTAGTATATTCACAAAATTGTGAAGCCATCACCACTATCTAATTCTACAACATTTTTATCACCCCAAAGACACCTCAAACTCATTAGCAGTCACTCTTTATTTCCTCTTGTCAGTGCCGAGCTGATCGAGAAGGGAAGTTTTTGATGGTGAGACACCTAGTTGGAAGATTGCACAAGGGGCTGACATTAGAATGAAACGGCAAGCACTAACTTTATTGCGGGGAGTGCAGTTCTATTGCGGGGAGCATGCTTCTGCTTCTGTTCCCCTTCTGCTCCCCAGGGGACCATATGGGTTCCACACATATCAGAGCACAATGGTGGTGTTCAGCCACACATGCGTGATACAGTAAGCTAAAGTATGTTTACATATTTTAGGCAGAGGCGCCCTACTACACTAATGTAACATTCTAAGTCTGGGGTTTTCTTATTCCTAGCCGTGAGCCTGGATCACAGCCAGACCTGGGACCAACGAGGCCTGGGACTCATACCTCCAGTCTCCAATCCTGGGCAACTAATAATGTGCTTACTATTTCTGTAGTTTTGACTATTCTTGGTACCTCTTATAAATGGAAAGTTGCATTGTTTCAACTTTTATGAATTATGCTGCTGTGTATGAATATTTGTGTATACTCTTGTGTGGATGTATTCATTTCTCTTGGGTCTGTACGTAGAAATGGAATGATTGCATCACACAGTAATTCTGTGTTTAACTTTTTGAGCAACTTGGCTAAACTTTTCCATAGTGGCTACACCATTTTACATTTCCACCATCAGTTTATACGGGTTCTAGTTTCTCCACTTCCTGGTCAGCATTTATTGTATTTTTTTAATGTTTTTAGCTATCCTTGGTGTGTGTGAAGTGATACTTCATTGTGGTAATGGTTTGCATTTCCCAATTGACATGTTGAGCACCTTTCCATGTGCTCCTTTCTGATTTTTGTTCATCTCTTGGTCCTTCATCACTTTCTTTTGGGTTGTTTTTGTTAAGTATTTCACTTTATTTCCTCTGTTGGCTTTCTGTGTGTGTTTTAGAGGATTAGCAGTATGCATCCGTAAATCCAGAAGCTATTCAGACAATTCTTACTGTACCTGCTCAAACCTTAACACTTGACACTTCAGGCTTCCAAGTCATACAGATAGTATTTAGGGTCCCACCTGGTTTATGTTAAAAAGAGTCCTTTGCCTTTTTAAAGATTAGTACATGTTGATTTCCACTTGACTTAAAATACTTTTCTTTGTTACCTTACGTAAACATTCATAAGCACAAGTAAAACCTATATTACATTCATGTTTCCTAATTAGTCTTTTTTTTGTATCTTAGTTGATAACTTTGAAGGTGTAATTTTTAACTTTTCCTGGCTATCATATTGACTTTAGGATATTGACATGGCAGCCACTGTACAACCCTAGAGAAGAGATATTATTTAAATTATTTTGGGTCTTCTTGTGATCGTTAAGAACAAACACTTTATTGAATGTCCTTATAGATCCTTTTACTTACTGCTTCACTTGGAACAAAAATCTTTATCTCATTTCAGTACTCATGTTAAATATGGCTTAACTGTGTATACATGTATCATTTGCTTCACAAATAGCTATAACAAATAGGAGGGTGTTGTTTTTCCATTTGGTCTCCATTGTGCTGCCCATGATACCATGCCTTAATTGCTCCCCTGCAAATAGATTATGAGTACATACCCTTCCATGTCTCAGAACTCAATAGCCTTCTTTTTTTATCTATGATCTTCTAAAACAGTTTGCAGATATTAAAGTTTGTTGCCCTGAATAGTCAAGAGTTCTGCCAGCTTCAGCCAGCTGAGTCTTGTGTTAACATACTCTACTTGGGTCATGCCATTCTGTCAGCATTGGTCTCCCAGAGCATGTTCTGTCTGAGGCACAGTGAGGAATTTTCTGGGGGGTTCTAAGAAATGGCTAATTCTGAGAGTGTGGAAAGGTGATTCATTCTCATTCATTTTCTATCTCCCCCCACCCACCCACCCACCATGAACTACTCTAAGGAAAAGGGGGTATTTAAGAGCATTTGGAACCTTTTTCAGGCAAAAGAGACCTGGTTGTGCTCAGAACTTCCAGTTGGTTCTGTTACCATGTTCTATTTAAATGTTTCATTGTACTTCTGAGTAATTTCAGAAAGATAAGAGGTGTTTTAAATCATTAAGAGAAAATTGCACTGAGGTAAGTGGATCAGTGAATATTCCAGGCAATTTAAAGTCTAGAACTGCAGCCTGTGAAATTTAAAACATTTTATCAGTATTTAGCAGCATAGTATCACTATATTCTTCTTCCTTTAAGTAGTAAAATCATGAAAGTTCACACAAAATTGTGTGTGCGTGCTTACTTTTCTAAGAGTATATCATCTTATTAGATTCTTGAAGAGCTTTATGTCTTATAGAAGATGAAGAACCACTAAATAGAAAGCATTAGCTTGATTTTTGCCTTCCTGAAGGCTTTCTGTTTCAAATACCCTTGGCCATATTGCCTTCAAAAGTTTTTTTCTCCTTGAATTTTAGCTATTCTTTAAAGAAAGGGATACAGATTTATGTAAGAAGTTAATATACAAAGAAAATGAATTATCTTGAAATTTAAGCCCTCAAGTATCCCCTTGGTAAGGTGGTATGGAGATGCCTTAAGAAAACTGTTAGCAAAAGTGACGTAATTGAAACTGAATAGGATAATAGGGGCAATTGGAAAGGAATCTCAAACATGCAATTCTGAGACAAGTAGGGGCTTTCAGGCATATTGTAGGCACAAAAAAACAACACTGTACACATACAGTGTTTGCTGGGTTGGTATGCTTGTGCTTCCTTCGCCTCACATTAGAATAAGAAAGTTCTCCCTAGTCTGACCCAGCCTGTCTCCTGGCGCATCCTCCAGCAAAAGTGGATCATTTTCTGGTTAAATGATGACCTCAGTGTCATAAATTCAATATTTTATTTTATTGCAGGAAAAACACGCCTCGTTATTTGGGGCACTTGGTGTACATTAGAAATTCTAGAAAGTATGTGGTAAAGGAATTTATTACCAAAGAGATTGTCATCTTCATGCTCCTCACTAGTAAAAGACAAGTTTGAAAAAAACACCCCATTTTATTTTCAAATTCACCATTGCCACACTATCTGCTTTTTACCACCAGTTTGATCTGCTCTTTGCCCAACTCCTCCCTCCTGAAGGGGCAGCACCAGCTTCACAGGCAATGGAGAGAGGAAGCCAGTCCAAACCCACTAAGGTCCAAGCAGGTATTCATATGCCAGTGCTCATGCTTTGAATGTGAATGCTGCAATCAAATCAGATTGTGAGAGCCTTGATATTTAGAGGTATTATGCTGCATTTTGATAAGCAAATACATCCACGTTTTCCCCAATTGAGGTATCAATAGTAAGGAAATAGAATTTCTACTCTCTTTGAAAAAGCACAGTGTTTAACTTCTTGTTTGCCTAAGGCCCTTTTGATCTTTTTCCATGAATATTTCCTCTGACTTTTTCTCTCAATATAACTGCTATAGATTATAAATCAATATAGTAGCATGCCTTTTTTAAAAAATCTTGACTTATATTGGCATATCGACATATATCTCCTGTAAGACCTGTTTGCTTAGTGAGAAAAAAAATTTTAAATCAAGCATTAGGTGAAATTATATCCAGGTTCTTTAATAATTGAGATATAGAACAACTATTAAACAATTAAACACTTTATTATTATATACAAAGCACATTTAGGTACTAATCAAAATGCAGTTGTAGAATTGTCAAACTAACCAAAAAAAATTAAGTTGCCATCAGATTGTCTTAAGTGTTTCTTAAGGAAATCTACCTTCAAAATTTAGAATATAGTATTTCGTAATCTGCCCTAAAATTTATGCAAAACAATATAAAAGTATAGTTGCTCATTGGAATGGACACTTGTTCTGGAGGAATTTTTTTCCTTTGCATTTTAACTTGAAACGTAAATTAATTAGGCTAGGCAGACATTGAATTTCTTTTTTGTTTGCCATCTAAGTCGTGGGTTTAATTTTGAAGTGACTGTCCACCTGAACTGTGTAGTCTTTTTAACTGTATGAGCAAAGGTAAGACTTATTGCCTCAATTTCATAATGTATTCCATTGATTAGTAAAACTTTTATTTATTTCACCAGAATGTGGTGTTTGTGATTTAAAGTAAAACGATCTATTCTGTGAAAAACTTAACATATTTATCTTCTTAGGGATTTGAAAATATAAGGTCCAAGTAGATAGTATAATAACAATGAAGCTTCACTAAGGGGCTTTCAGATCCTTCCTATTACTGTTTTTTCGTTTTCTGCTTTCTCTTTTAAGATTTGTCAGCTGTCAAACCATCAGTTTTCTCTCCTCCTATCCCACCCATCCTGTATGCTTTACATTAATGTATTTTTGTGTTTGGGGCCATTTGGTTAGGCCTCAGACATTCCACAGCTACCTAGAGGACATCATAAACTACCGCTGGGAGCTGGAAGAAGGGAAACCCAACCCTCTAAGAGAATCCAGTTTCCAAGACCTGCCTCTCCGTACCCGTGTAGAAATCCTGCACCGCCTCTGTGATTATCGGCTAGATGCGGATGATGTCTTTGATCTTCTCAAGGTGCTTAACTGGCAAGCTGTTCTCTTAGAGCAAAAAAGACCAGCAATCCAGGTTGTAAAATCTGAAGCTATTAAGAGAAACCAGAGTTTGGCTTGTGTTACTAGTGTTGGGACTCTTGATCAACAGTAACAATGTATATAAAACAAAACCTCTGTAGCCAAAGTAATCCAAGGCATTCATTTATACAACTATGTTATTTTGGTTTAGTCTTCCTTAATATGTGCTGAGTCCCAGCTGATAACAAGAGAACAATCAGAGTCACCTATATAGTCTCCCTGTCATCGACCAGATTGCAACTAAATTAGCCACTGAATTTGTTTCCCAAATTTGATTCAGCATAATTTAAATATTTATTGAAAACTCCAAGGACTTTAACCCATATATGCCAGTGAAGTTCATTTTTACTATACCCAAACATACACATTACAAAAAATGTGCCGGAGAAGGAAGGTGTTATTATCTATTTTAAAAGTCTATCTCAGAGGGTTTGAGCTATTGCTTTTCACTCATAGGGAGGTTCAGTCAGAAATTATTAAATGTGTGATGACTTCTCAGTTCAGCCCTACTCATGGACACGGTATAAAAATCATTGCACAATTTAGCACAGTCTTTGCTGAGAACTCAAGGACTTTAATAGCAGTAGGAAGGCCAAACCAGGTCAGACCCTGGGGTAAACTGGGAGCTATATTGCTGGATCTCAGCTGGAATAAGAGGTTGCTGTAGGTTATGATGAAGCTACAATAGAGGATCACCTGGGACAAAGCTTTCATAACAACACATTCCACCGTGTTGTAATTGTCTTTCCTTTCATGGATGCACACATAAAATAATAATAAATTCAAACCAAATATATAATATGTTCATCAAAATTCCCTTTGGTTTCTCTTTTCTTGGTGAATTGAGGACTGTGATGGGGATGGGAAGCATTTGAAGTATGTCCATATCCTGTTCATTAAAGAAGGACTGCTGCTTATTCTGTGTTTCATATGCCCTGATTGAAAATTACATGTGATGCTTAGGCATCTTTAAATATGAGGTATATCTAAGTATAAATTTTGAACCCTCATTTTAGTCTTCTCCTATTTTGTTCCCCATTTCCCCAAACCTCTTTTTCCCTGTTCTTGGACCCTAGGGTCTGGATGCTGACAGTCTCCGCGTGGAGCCATTAGGTGAAGACAATTCTGGGGCACTGTATTGGTATTTCTATGGAACTCGAATGTACAAGGAGGATCCGGTACAAGGAAAATCCAACAGAGAACTCTCTTTGAGCAGGTACATTCTTTAAGGTCAGGGCTATAATAGTTACTGTACAAAAAATGTAATTAAAATGAAATTCATCAATTCTACAGCACAAATTACTTTTTCTGTATGAAGGAATTAGCTATAACTGTAAAGAATGCCAAGGAGTTATTTCATACAAAAATAAAAAAGAATTGAACTGTCACCTCCGCTAGCAAAACAGCGAGAGATTCTATTTTGCTGTGAGGTTCCCAAGGAGCATCGCTCCTTTTAGCCTGGACTGTTCCACACAGCAGATTCTTCTTAGCAGTGTGGTCATTTCACTGCCACAGTTTTCGTCTTTCATACTCAATTTTTGAGAACTTTTTTTCACTAGAGTTGATAATCTCCATCAGCATAAGACAAGAAGGAACTTAAAGAATGTCTGAAACATAAGCCTTAATAAACTCTCCCTAAATGAGGAAGAGTCCTCCTTTTCATAGCAGCCCACTATCTTGTTTTATGTAGATTTTATTGCTGGGAGCAGTACTCTCAGGAAAGTGTTAGGTCTTACTCATATTTCAATATTGTCAAATGTCGGTTTTTCTTGGTTCTATACTCTAATTATGAAAGACAGTAAGTCACCCTGCT